GCTCTAGTCCCTGAAGCGCAATGCCTGCTTCCTCTAGGCACTCCTATGATGCAAGATACCCCAAAGATGACAGGAACATGGGTCCACCTCCTTCCCATATACCTCCCAACAGAGACAGCTGGCTGCATGGGGGGATCTATGGTGCACCTTCTGAAGGTATCTAGTAGTGGGCTATTCCCAGCATTCCCCCTGCACGCCCAACAGCTTAGGGAGAATTCTCTTTGAGGCAGAGTGCCTCCCAGAGGTCCTGCTGAGGTAATGTGGATCCATACCACCCCAGCCCTCGGCTGTACTGAAGCACCAGGACAGAGCCCTAAATTCCCTAAGCACTGTGCCGAAAGCTCTGCTTTAGAAGAAATCTTCTTAAGTGTGTTACTAAGCTATTCAAGCATCAACTTTAAAGTTCATTCTGCTTTAATTATAAAGTGACATGCCACAGCTCAAGGATGAGAAGAATTTATGGCTCATATCTACTGTCAGTCATTAGCTTCAAGCTTCCAAATTATGACTCCTGTTCCACTGATTACTAAGCAAAAGCTATTTTAAACAAAGCTCCGTGAGCAGATTTTTATGCTGCATGTTGAAAGGTACTTTCAAAATGTTTATTTGGCCTCAACACCCTTGGCCTCATTCTGCAGTCCTTACCCAAGCATAACTGGTCAGTGAAGTCAATGAAGTGTTGTCTGTGTTAGGCTCTTACTGTGGTTACCACATAATTCTCAGCGCTTAGTCTGTTTGTGTGAGCTCTGGTATTTAATGATAATTGTGCAGCAGTTTTGCTTTGCCAGCATTTGGGTGATCATGTACTGTTGGTTTCAATCTGTGTGGTTTGAACTCCATCCACACACATTTCATGTTCAAAAACCCTTATCATGTCAAAGGGGTGCTCACTTGGTGCAGTGCAAAACTGCAAATTTCACATGATTTTGATTTAAAGACAGAAACTGGCTGAAGTTAACTGTAAAAATGTGTGAGCAAACATTACCTGAGTTTCAAGTGTTGGATGAAACCTGGAAACTGGCAAGTTTGGCATGGTTCACATTTTCATGAAAATATTTCGCACAGCCCATCTAATCAAATCACCATAGGCTGCTACATTGTCCCTGGCCCTCATTTAGGTGCACCAGGTATAGGATGCCAGGAGGCTTCCTCCTACCCCCGTCACTCCTGCCTTCCCTGTGCCAGGGCCAACATTACTGTAGTCCTTGTGCACTAGAAACTACAAACTTCTAGTTCCTCTCAGAGTGCGAGTCCAAAGGCGTTGGGGAATGTTGGGACAAGGTGTGGCCACACTTGCAGAAGTATAAACAAGATATGAACTGGCTCAATAAAAACTGTGGACCTAGGACTGCAGGACCATTTTGAAACTGTCTAATTTTTTTTTTAAATATTCCAACCAAACTAGCAACCTTCTTAGAAGTATTGACCTTAGAAATCCAATTCTCTTTCATTCTGAGTCTGATCCTAGACCTTCAAAATCAGTGAGAGCAGGAGCAGGGTTTATATGATCAAAGATGTAACATTAACTTTTGTTTTCTTTTGGGTAGAAAGTACAGACTCTCAAAACGTTAGCAATGTAAATATGCCCCAGAAAAATGAAAGGAAAATAGCATCCATTCGGCTCAGTGCAGCTGTGCCTACAGAGTGTGCAATGGGAATCACTTTTTGCCATGCAATAAATTGATATATAGTCCCAGAATAAAGTTTCAAATTGCAGTTGAACCTCCTGCTGGCAATGACCAGGTTGCAGAAAAGTGACATAATTTTTAAAACTAGCAACCTGAGAACCCAGTGAAAAAAACTGCACACCAGCCTGCACGCTGATTTAATACGTAGTTTGAAAATAGAAGATTATAATAGAAACTATTTTTTAAATATTAAACAGCCCTGTTTAACTGCAATGAAACCAAGAGTGTCAAATATTTTCTACAAAGGCTTTCCATATGTAAACCAGTAACATGTTATTTCTTCTTGTGCAAGCAATGCAAGATCAGGTCCTTTAGTTTCTAAACATGGTACAGATTTATTTTCATGCCG